GCAGGAAGGCTGACGTTTCTGAAGAAGGGTCTAGACCCGAAACGTCAGCTTTCCTGCTCCTCTGGTGCTGCTTGGCCTGTTGTGTTCATCCAGCTCTACACCTTGTTATATTAGAAAGGCTTACTGGTTACTACAGCCTTGGTATTAAAACAAGCCATTGTTAGGCATCTCAATTGAAGAGGCATACATGACAGCCTTGATGTTGAGGTTCTAAAAGTTTCCAATTAGTCCAAAGCATAGCAAAGGCTTGCTGCCTTTCACAGCCTTTTAAACAAGTTCTGTGCCTACACTTCATGTGCAAAGTTGGATTTTGGGGATGTCAATAAATTACTTCAAAACACACACAACTAAACCACAAAGAAGTTCAATTCCTGAACTATGAACAGGACAAGTGCACAGTTTCCAGATAGCTGCAATTGTCTGCATTCATTTCAGACTCTCGCATGAATTGTTGAGTACAACAATCTATCGGGGGCTCAAGCGGAATGCTGTCTCCAGAGCTTAACAGTATTTCATCAACTAATTGCACAAAGTGCTTCCAACTTCTTGAAAAACCTCAGGCTCAACAGGAATTTGATTGTGTTTTTCCGAAGACTTCAAAGGCAAAGTAATAATCAGCTCTGACTGTTTTCACTGTTCTAATTGAATGGTTTTTCTCTTCATGTAAGGAACAAGTCCATCGTTGTGCAAAATGTTAACCTCTTCTTTTAACAGAGCGGCATTACTTTCCACAGGCTTACCTTTTCCATTCAAGACACCGCAGCCCTTAAACTTTTCTGGCTCATGTCCCAGTGCAAATTTCTCCCACTCGTGCTCCCAACCTGACAAATTTCAAGTGGGAGTTGCAGGTGCAGATGCCCAGCTGGCTCATGCAGCTTGAAATTCTAACGCTACCAAATGTTCACTACTTTTGTGCTCCCAATGTACTGAAGTCCCAATCCCTTCCTGGATAATTTTCAGTATGTTCCAAAAGAGCATCTGTCGTACATCCCAGTCCTAGCTGTAGCCTGCAATCTCTATTGTATGCAGGTATTTGTTTAAAATTGACATCTGTTCATAAAAGGTATACATGTTGATTGTGGGAATTAGTTAAGACAGCACTTCACGTTATCCTGAAGTGACCAAAATGGATTGCACTGACAAGGCAATTATAATATAAAAACGTACATCATGCAAAATCAAAGTTAACTGGAAATCAAATGCCTTTTAAACAGAAAATTGTAATGTGCAACTTATTAGGAATTTCAGCACTTTGAGAAAAAAAATGGATCTTTAAATATGCATTTGCAAGAAAATTCAAGAAGCAATGGTTTTCAATTGGAAACAAAAAAATGCCTAGCCAAGGAGCTCTCCAATGCTGGATTTTAAAAAAAAGCTCTATGCACATCTTTATCAACACAAGTAGATATGAATATTATTTTTCTCACTTCTTGGAGGCAATACCTGATACTGGACTATGATGCTTCATAATTTGGCAGTTTGTGCTGACAAGTATTTTTAACTAATAGCAACAACTTGCATTTATCTAGTGCCTTTAATATCATAAAATGACCAAAGACACCTTGCAGGCATATTATTAAGCACAATCTGATACCCAGCCTTGTTAGGGAAGATGGCCAAAAGCTTAGTCAAAGTTGTACATTTTGAGGAGTGTATTAAAGGGCGGAGTGGAAGAAAAATTTAGTGAGGAATTCAAGAGCAAAGAGCCTTAGCAGCCAAAGGCATGACCACCAACGATGGAATGATTTATGGGGTGCACAAGATGTCAGGATTCACGGAAAATAGAGTTTTGTGGGGTTACAAGTGATTACAGTGTTAGGGAGGGGCAAGGTCATGGATAAGTTTGAAATCAAGGACATACTTTTTAAAATTGAGACCTTGCTTAACCAGGAACCTAGCCTGTCAAACATTCTGGTCAAAAATACGACAGTGGTTAGAAGAGTTTCCTTAGTTACGGAATAAAAATTTGAAACCCTGGACACCTTGAGGTTTTTGGAGAGTTGCTGAGGAGAAACTAAGTGTTTGACAAAAATGTTTGGAATTTAACTCGGCTTGTAATTTGCAGATAGCTTTAGCTATAGTGACATAGGAGTTCCGTTTCACATTAAAGGAAATTGTGTTGTCAAGAAATGAAGTAAATCAAGAAATGAAGTAAATCAAGAAATGAAG